GACGTACAAATGTGGCAGGAATATGTAAGAGCTAATGATAAATAACCGATGTAGTAGTAGTACATGCAACGCTTCCAACACTAAGGGTCTCTCTCGCGCGTTACATTGTTTTACTGGATGATAATGGAATGGTAACCTCAGTTGCATTATCAGTATATACTAGCAGGGCACTAGTGAGGGACAATAAGTGAGGATGCAAGGAAGCAAGTCAGTTCAGTCATGATAAATAAATTACTATGGCTTTCAGTGGAAACTGCGAGGAGACTGACCTGACAGGATATATTGCTAGCAATAGGGTTCCTCTGGTCCTCAATACTAACAATTCTTTTTCCCTTGCATTACATTCCTTATGATATGAAGATTTCGAGTTGGAATATTTAGCAATTTTGTAACTTTTTTCCCCTCTTTTTGTGCATGTCTATCTGTATTTGTTGCTATTTGTGAATTGTAGTACAAATAAATTTTCTGTCTAGCTAGCTGAATCGCTATATATAAATATCTAAGTCGCTCTCAAAATTTTGATTTACATTTCTTTTTTGTTGATAAATGTTTTTGCAATAGATAGTATTTACTCTCGTGTCAGTTATATAATATAATAATATTGTTACGATACGAAGTCGCTGTTTTAATTTATTTTTCAATCTTGCACGTGTAAGTACTTCGGTATGTTAATTAATTTACGGACTGTGCCCCTTTGAATAATTTAATTTTAAATTGAACCCTTATTAAATAAGTGATTAAATTATTATAACACCCTGGCAAATGTAGTGTATTTTGTTACTCATTGTTGTTACTCATAGTCCACGTGTCGACTATTTGGCCTATCGCCCATGAGAACGATATAAAAACGCTTTTCGTTGATAGTTACGGTTTCAGTTTTAGGAAGTGCTTATATAAACAAGACATTAGTAGGTATATAGATAAAATAATTTGTAAACAAGTAAATTTTTCACCGCAAATAAAGATGACTTCCGTCATGATAAATACAATAATGGGTTTAATGTACAAAAAGAATGTTTAAAATTGCCAATAATGTTATTCGCAATATTTTAAAATTACCTATCTTGACTTACACTAAAAAGTATAAGCGAATTCTTGAATATTCTTTTCATGTATAGTATATAGAAAAATTGTAAAATAGGTCAGCTGCAAACTTGCAAAGATATTGACCTAAGAGTTAAGGTAATTATTTATCTACGAGAGCCTACTGCTTCTAGGGTACCTAGATACTTCTGGTGTTGCTGGCATCTGTACAAAGATTGCGATATGCTATCAAGCAGGTTATATGCTTGTTTTTACTTTCGTCATATACCTAAACAGTTAAAAACACTTATTTTCTACTTATAAAAATTTTTTAAAAGCTTTTACGTATTCATACTTAAATTGGATTAAAAACAATAAGGAGTTTTTTAAATTGATCCTATCGATCTTTGTCAATGTCGTCAGTGTTATATTTTCTTTAATCTATATTAATATTATAAAGAGAAACATTTGATTGTTTATTTGTAATGGATAAAGTCAATACTATTTAACCATTTTAAAAATTATTTTGCTTATAGAAAGCTGCATTATTAGCGAGTAACATAGGTTAAATTTTTTTTATTATATAAATTATATTAAAAAAAATTATCAACTTGTACGAAGTCAGGGCGAATCATTAGTATCAGATTAGTATTAGACTCATTATAAACAAGCAAATAAAAAATAACATATGTTTACATTATTAGTAAGGATTATTATCCTACGTTCAAAACATAAATAGTTCAGCAAGGTTCGATAAGTGGGCGCCTACTTTTGAACAATAGATTGGTGATTAGATTTTGAGAATCTAAATTTGGATTTTATTCATGTAAAGTATTTATTTTGGTTGACTTTCTGCAGGTCAGTGACTACTTCAGAGCTCTTCAGAAGTAATTAATTTGATTGATTATTTAAGCAATTTGTTTGTTATTCAAAACTTCCGGATACTAACACTGATCGTTTTACGATCATTTTCAGTGCATGAAAATGGTATGGAAACTCCGCCTACGCTATTGGTATACATTGTACTAGAGAGTGATGGTTGGTAAAGATAAAGTCAGATTAATCAGTCCATTGTGAAGAACTAAGCATGATGGTTTCTTAGGGGGATCCTAGGGACATCGACCTAACAGGGTATTTTATTAGCAATGAGGCTTATAACTGATATTTCACCAGGGCTCTAAAGTATTGGCTACCTTTTTTTTTTATTTATACAACTTAGAATGGCAAACAAGCTGATGGCCCACCTGATGGAAAGTGGTAACCGTCGCCTATAGATATGAGCAGTATCATGGACATAACAGAGTATACTGTTTTGGCCATGATACCCCCATGCGTTGCCATTTCTGAGCACTCAGATGTTATTCCTCAGTACCCAGTAAATTCACGCCATATCCCACCCTTCAAACCGAAACACAGCCATGTAAACATAACTGCTTCACAGTTGAAATACGAATGGGACAGAGGTACCCAAGCAATCGACTTTTGTACAAAGTCTCTCTCTGGCACCTATACCTAATCGTATGCGTAAAAATACGAGTATGTTTTAAGCGTTTCCGGTGATATGATTTTGAATGTTTGTGAACAATAAATTGAGAGTGATTTGAAGCCTTAACGGTTCAGGTGACAATCGTCACGGTCATTACCAACGAGGGAAGAAAGTGGTCCATTATCAACGAGTCGTTAGTAATGGGTCACTTTCTTTTGTCGGTAAGGAAAGTAGATATGCATTATTGTTCACCGGATGTATAATATGGATATGGATTAAATATCCGTTTCTCCATTAATATCTCTTATTATGCAATAAATAATATAAACGACGCAGTATACTACAATATATTAACGTTAGTGCTTTTAAGTTTTACGTTGTGGCTTAAGTTATGACTAAAATTATATTCTTGATATTGATGGAGTATCATAGATCATATAGTTAAAGTTAATTTTTTTATGTCAATGTTAAATGTAAATTGAAGTTTTGGAGTACATTGACTCCTACTGCATTCGCGTTACTGTCAATTCCATCATTTCCCGGTCCCTTGTGATTGTGGACATGCTAACCATTCTAAAATCCTCCAGCTTGATATTTAAAGAGACCCGTTTCAAGGTGAAACCAAGGACCTTCAAATAGACTGATGTTGCTGTAGTACACCAAAAGGTTTCAAACGCCGTTAATGTTCGTTTTTTTAAGAATGGATAGATGTTTGCGGCTCTGGGACTTCATCATTATTTAAAAAGTATTCATATAGCTGGTAGCAGACGCCTAAATGACTGGCTTATATTTAGGCTAACGGATTTCTATCGATATATATATGTTTCCCATGAGAATGTATATCACATTCTCATAGGAATAATATGGTTAAAATAGATTTTCAGCGGATGAATAGATCTGATTCATATTATTTCGTCAAGAGTGAGTCAGGAGATACGTTTATTGGCACCTATCGCTTTTATAGTCTGATCATTTAAATACACTTGCACAAATGTTACGAAGATAAAATATACATTATTATGTTTATATATAGAACACTATATACAGAAAAATTACGTCGCCTGAGTATACGCCGTGTGATCCCGGCATAGAATGGGCCACCCCTTACTGGCCCGTGGGTATCGTAACAGGCGACTAAAGAAATTTAATGGTCGAGAAAGGAGACACAGTGTCCCTCTTAAAATATCACTAAAGCCTAAGAGCGCTTGCCAACCCGCCTGCTAAGTGTGGCAACTATTGGCAAAACTAGTGGCAAAAAAAAATATGGGGAGGCCTATGACCAGCGGTAGACAGTTGACGGCTGATAAAATATAATACAATACAGAAGAATAGCAACTTCTAAAAATTTTGTTTGCATTGTGTAATGTATATTTTAAAATTAACTATTAACGTACTATGAATTCACATTACTGAAAATTGGAGTCAATTAAGTTATTAAGTTTCTTAAGTGCTAGTAATGCTTGTTAATGAATAATATTGAAATGGTAAACCCGCCTGTAGATATAAGATAACACAAATACATATATATGTCATCCCGTCTCTCTATCATGATAATTATTAAAAAGTACCCTCGTCATTTTGATCAGAACTTAGTAAGCATTATATCTTTATGATATCTATTAATGTATATGTAGGTACGTTAATAAGAATGTATGTATGTCCGGATCACAGTAACGAGTATTAAAAGACGACGTTAGTATCTCGATTTATATGAGAAATATGCGTATCACTATTAAACTACTTGCTTTGATGTCACAAAAGCTATTTATTGATAGGAAATCCCATCCCACATTAAAATCTTTAGTAAATACCATCTTTCATGTTATTTTTGCCAATCCTCTGGATTTTTTTTAATATATAATACGTTTTATATAGGAATTCTGAATCCATATTTAATCATAGTCAAAAACTCATGTTGAGTTTAGAAGTCTTGATATAAAAGCGTATCTAACATTTGTTAACAAGGTGTTTAAAGTAATATATTTTATTATAATAATTTATAAATTTGGTATATTATTTGGTAAATTTGGTACAAATAAACACTATAACTAACTAATACAATATTGTTAAACGATGTGTAAACAAATATGTGATTTTTATTTTTTATTTTTTTTTTTTGTAATAAGACAGTTAGAGGTGAATTATAACGACTACGACATCTAATAACCGTATTATAGTTCAGATTATATGTCTAAATGGTAAAAGTTAAGTGATTATCACTTTAACGTTAAATGGCTTGGTGAGTTTAAAAGAACAGATGTTTAGATACGTCTTAATCGAGAGAGTTCCATAGGTCACACGATTACAGTGTTTTTTAATTGACAATTAAATAACAAATTGTCCTATTATTTAAACAGATATCGGGCTAGCGCGCCTTTGTTGCATCCATTTCCTCACTATTTTGTTGTAAAAATCTAAACACTAACTGCAAAAAATTTGAATTTTGTATAGTTAATTCTTTAAATACCATTCTCATTAAAAGGTTACTCACCCGACGGTGCCATTGTCGAGGTTCTGCATATGTTTGCTGAGGGTCTCCTTTATATTCTGCTGGGAGTAGAGCCCGATAGGCGAGTTAAACTGTTTGTGCACTATCCTCGGGCCAGTGGCCATTTTGAAGTCGTTCGTTCAGCGCTGAAATGAAGGCATATATTTGATTTTACTTGGATCTTACTCAACAAAATTAAATCTTACAATTTATTGTTTATTTTATTTTATTTTAATGTTACATATGGAATCAACAGCTTATATCTAGAATAATTAAAAATATTATATTTACACCATACATTAGCCAATTACAGATTCCCAATTTGTATACCAAACAATATTATGCTTATTTTTGGAGGGTAGGTTAAATGAAATATAAAAAAATCAAAAATAAAATCTATGGAGATACTTATATAAAACGTCGCATCACTGGATCATTTACGGACAAGATAATGAATTGTATGATAATTTGCGACTGTAATGTATTTTGCGACTTTTGACACGTTGATCAGAAAGCGAGAGAAAGTACAAAGTTTCCTGCATATCTCAAACCTATTATAAATAATATATATATTATTAGTTGAGAAAAAAAAACAAAAAGTAATATAAATATAAAAACAAAGCCAAAGCCAAACCAAAAAGCCTAACTACGCTTGATACGAAGTTCACCGGGTCATCTGTTACATACATACATAAATTTTATATTACGTAGTAAATATTATAATTAAGTACCTCCACTATATTCCTTTTGTTAATTTTATTGCAAATTAACATTTTTTTAATTCTGTAAAATACGATTAATTTAGAATACTTATTCATATAAAAATATGAAACAGAAAAAACAATAAAAGATATGTGAACTATGAGTATGTAAGTTTGCTAACTTCCTCACAGGAGTAAAAAAAAGTTTATCTATCCATACCCGAAAAAATTAGGATGACAAATTTTATGCCCCTCGTGAGATAATTTTATTACAGTCGGAAGATTCATGTTCGCGTTGGAATGATAGCACGTCTTATTGCGTTTTTATTAGCACCGGCAACAGCTTACACGACTATCATATTTTCTCCGAATAATGTGCAAGAGACAGGTAGCTTTGTGCAAATAAGTTTTCAATATGAGACGCGGCGACAGGGAAGCTGACGTTAATGTATTTAAGAGTTCGTTCTAATATAAGTGAGAATTGTAATGTTCATATTTATGAATATACATTTTTTTATTTTAATCGAAATAAAATGCTATACCAAGCCACTAAGATAGTAATAGTAGGATTTAAATTGGTTAGTTACTTTACATCCTTTTATAACCACTTAATAGACAAAAATAATGACCTTAGCAAAATTATAATAATTTAATCATTAATAAATAGTAAAAAAATAATAAAAATTATCAAAAGATCGTAACGGTAAAAACCTTAGCAGAACGGCTTCTTAATACATATAAAATTCCGTCTATTGACATTTTTTAAGTATCACACAATATAATAAGATAAATCGCATCACCAATAAAATTACAATGTCTCTTCCAACCTTCACATTGGCGAAATTATTGGAACCCCGATGGAGACATAATATAAAAAAAAAAACTTTTATAGCAGAAAGATGCTTACGGCTAAGTAAGTCTGTAAACGGTGTAAGCAATGGTACTGAGCTCTGACAGTAGATCTGGACGAACTTCAAACGCCTTTTTTAAGAATCGCATGCAATACTCTTTCAGGAAAATTTCTATTTATCTCACAACCTTAGTATTTAGCGAATGAAATTCCTCTGAAATCGGCGGCTATTTAGGTCTATAATGTGAGGGTGAATTTAATTGAATTTTTTATCTTGTCGAGTAAATAATAAATGCTTAGAAAGTAATTTACTTAAATGATTAAACGAGTTCTTTCAAGTGCAACAGATCGAATGATCTGAACCCACGCAGTATGTAATTGTAAATGTAATTTATAAAAAAATGAGCTATAATCTATTTTGGAAATTGCGAATAATATCTTAGAACCCTTCTCCATAGAAATTGTTGAGATATAATATTTAATAATTGAAAACTAAAGAAATAAAATTTATAATTAAAATTGGTGTTCACAATAAAATATGAATTAATTTAATGTTTTGTAATTACAGTAAAGTGGAAGAAATTGTGTTCTCATAGAGTCCGTAATTCATGATTTTTTTCTTGAACCATAGATTACTTCGGATTACTTTTTTATTGGAATAAAAAATTCCGGATTGAAATTAGCTATTTCTCGAGTCACAATTTAATATTATCAAAATTAAATATGATCGATTTATAGACGTAAAAAAATTTTACTTGTACGTTATTTTTAACAAGTTCATTCATTGGCTTTTGTAATGGGTTTATATACTTAATCTATGATAGCTTTGTCTATGTCAGTCAGTCTTGTTAAGTCAGTCATTCAAGGTTATTAATAGAGCATGAAAGTATTTAGTTTTTGTAATAATTTCTTAAAACAAATAAAAGTTACTTGAATAATAGTTGTTTACTTAACATTATAGATTTCATCGAATAATAGAGATAATTGTATTACTTTATAAATACACAGAAATAAAATATAAGTATATGAATGGGAAGTGAAAACATGGTAAACATTTAGTTTCAATTAAAGAGTTGTAGTTTGAGTATACATAAATACGCCATGGGATAATAATAATAATAATAATAAATAATGCATAACTGTTTATTGTGATTGTGATGTGCTTTGAATATTACTTATAGAAAAATAATAATTGTTGAGACTTCTTATACCTATATGATGTTGTCAGAAATGGTCCTAAAAATTGCGATTAATTGCCATTGTAGAGAAGAAAAAGAAAAATAAATTGTATATAAAACCTAATGTAGGATTTTTTTTTTGCTAAAATCATATAATAAACAAACACAATAATAATTGTAGCTTTTTCTTTTCTTTCTTTTTATCAATATGAATTTTGTGATAACCATTTTATCCAGTCACATTTTTCGTGTAAACAACATTAATTTAATAAAAAGAAGCAATAGCCGTGTTTCTTGCCCGTTCTTCTCAACTGAAATTGTATTCCGAACTGGGTAGTAGTTTCATTAAGAAATCACTATTCAAAAATTCTTATAATTAATTTTATACAAATAAAAAAAATATATTTATTCGTTTTTTATTTCAATGTTAAGACATTTTAAATCTGGTAAAAATACAATTCTCCCCGAACATAATTTAGCCCTTTTCAAAATTCGTCTGAATCTGCATTGAATTGGTTAAACATAGTTGTATAATAGCATTAGGGACAATTTGTATACAGTTTTATTTATGTATTTCGTCATTGGTCGTGGACTGTGAAATAATTGCGAAATGTACACGGAAGATGTCGAGAACCGCACTCCAGAATTAGTTGACGTGAGCCAATTCTACTAATGCCAAAACAACATCTCTAGCTTTTTTGTGTTACGAACTACTTACTTAAATAAAACAGATAACATATATAACCTAAACAATAACTGTTTGGGTACAAATTATGAAAAAAACCACTAATCCCATATGGGTCTGAAGTAGTCATAGGTGTTAGTTATCTGTTACAGTTGTGATGAACACAGTCCTTAACTTATCCGTGACAGACAAAATAGGAGCGTACTTAGTACCATCTATTTTTATCTAAAATAAGTATAATGAGAATTAAACATAAGATAGAAAAAAAACGGAATTATTAGCGTTTTGAACATTTCGCTGCGGTATCCTAAAAAGACTGGTACTATTTTCAAATAACAGAATACAGATATGACATGAAGGTGCTTTTTCTTAGCGATTTAAAATAGAAAAGATCTATAGATCTAGCTAGATAAAAATAGAAAAAATCTTTTAAACTATCGTAAAGTTTGCCTTGCGTTTTCTGCGTTGAAACGTAAGAAAACTTATTGCTAACTATGCATTAAATGATAAAAAAGTATTGTAAATAGGAAGATATAGTTTAAAATTATTTATTATATACCGATACATATTTTTATTTTTCGCGTTATAAAATGACTTGAAGAGAAAGACACGAAGAGCGAGTTACGACTTCCTAAAGACAACTTTTTATTATCAACCGACTTCGTAAAGGCAGATGTTTACAATTTGACACTATATTTTTTATCAAGACATTAATCAAACGACCGACGGGATATGATTCTTTTATTACAAACTTTATGACTATTTCCGACTCTATCATCAGACCAATTCTATGGTGTAATTTTATTGCACTGTCATTGGCATTGTACAAATACGAGTACGCTAACATTTAGTTAGATAACAGTAAATACATAATTGTATTATAATTATTGAATTTAAAAAGTATACAAGCGAAATTAATATAAAAAGCTCGTAAAATTAATTCCATTGCTATATTCAGATCTGCTTTTATCCATTATCATTTTTCTTTATTCGATGCTTTCAAAATAAGTGCATTAGATTTTTACAAGCTTGCTTCTTTCATATAATATATACCTACACGTTTTTTCAGTTTATAACTTGCCATCAATTATTCAAATATTTATTATCTTTTACCCGAGACTTCGTTTAAGTGATCGAAATTCTATTAATTTCCCAAGATAAAAAGTATAGTTTATAAGATAGTCCTTTTTCATCCAGATAGTATCCGAATAGTATGTATATTTCACATGAAGATTAATTAAGGTGTTAAAGTGTTAAAAGATAACAAACAAATAAATGCACTTTCACTTTAATCATCACATCAATAAGATTCGTATTTATATTTCTTTATTTATATTGCCAATATTATAACTTTCGCAAAATTAAGTCTACAATTGTTATCCTTTTTTAAAGCTATAGGTTTTAAAACTACAGATCAAATAATATGATATGTTCATGTCATTTCGGTCGGTATATTCGGTCAGTTACTAAAAAGGAATTTTTAAAAAATATCTGTATTTTATTTTTAATTTATTTATTGTTATTATATTAATTTATTTATTTATTTATTATACTACTGTATTGTATATTTTTATTTATATTTATTTGTTTTTGTCAATTGTGTTTATGGCAATTCTAATTTGTCGATTATTTATTCGAGTGATTGCATTTAACATAATATTTGTCCACTTTGTGTAAAATGTAAGTGGGCGTTAGAAAACAGTACGTTATCGTCCATGCTTCTGAAAATGATGTAGACGGCGAGAGATATAGTCTATTTTTGCGTCAGACTTGCTCGCACACGTAATAAATATTTGCGCACTTATTTTCAGTGTTATATATTTCTGATAAATGGAATTGTTTGCATATATTTGCGTGCGTTTCTTATATGCATACGTTTCCTCTGAATTAGTTAACGTGTTGGGTATTTTAAGAAACTTTAAACAAATATAACATTTTTTAGATTTATTTGTAGAGTTCACTGTTATTTTAATATATAAAAATCCCATGTCACAATGTTTGTTCACGCTAATCTCTAAAATTACTTAAATCATTTTAATGAAATTTTGTTTATGTGCATTGATTGCTTCAATTTGAGATATATGAGATTTTTTTAATCTAATAAGTGGCCTATAGAGTGTAATTTATATGAAACAGCATTCCAATTAAGATTGAAAACGTTTCAATTTAAGATGGAAAACGTAGGTCGGTCAAAAACAAAAATAAAAATTCCTCTTTATTAATTGTTCACCTACTTTGAGTTTTAATAATATGTTTCGAAATATTTAAAATATTTTTCAGTCCAGCCGGACAAGCAATAAAAATGACGTTTGGAGCTGTTGTGAGGCCAATGGAGTTGTTTTTAGAGAAACAAGGTTAACAATACCGTCATCAAGGTTAAGAATAATAGTACAGTGTAATCCCTGCTATGCGATGTACACAAATAACTTTCAAAGTTATTTTTAAACCGCATCTTGTTTTATGCATAAATTTGCAACCTGCATACATCGCTGTATACATCCAAGGACGGATAAAAAAAAGATATAACTACATAGATAGGTACTTCCTTTATCTCTGGTAAAGGACAATGTGTACCAAAACAGTAAACAAACGATTGTTTTCATCAAAACAAACAATTTTATCTAAAAATAAATTGATCATAAAAATATGATATTATTTTTAATAGCATAGGAGTTAGCGATTCTGATTAATATTTGTTTAACAGTAAATTACTCTTATATAACGGTCCATGCATCATATTTATGAGTTGTTGTAATGTTTTAGAATTGAACTATCGACATGTATGATAACATCAAAGAAAGTTCTATAATGGAGTCATACAGACACTCATACGCATGCATATCCGATTGGCGCAGCGATATTACATGAAACGCGTGAGTTATTTCAAGCTCGTGAAGTCATGGCGAATTATTTTGGTACGACACCTTGTTCATGAAGTTAGCGATGTCGAGGCCACCAGGTAATTAGTGGCGAAAAACGTGAACATTCTGTAAGCGTTAATACTATGTTAATGCATGAAGCGTCTGTTTTTAGTATTTGTACCTTGTGCGGCGTCAATTTCGTGCGAGCGGCTTGCTTGCCTGCCTCTAACTGAGCGCGCGTCGGCGCCCGCCCACGCAACCTGCTGCGTCTGTGGACGCCTCACCTGTAAGCTTTCAGTAATCATGGTATTCAGTTGCTGTCAGACAGGTGTTTACAGCGATCAAAAGGTGATAAACTGTTGGTACACAGAGATGAATCTCCATATAGTAGTGTACGAGGAAATGTTTAGTTTTCTATACATTGGTTAATGGCGTGGAATTTATCGTAAATGGAAATATTACGGTTTGATTCATAATATTTAATTTTAACATTTTATATAATAGTATATTGAAATAGAAATAATAATTAGAATTTTAGTTTTAAGGAAATATATGTGTGTATTAAAACGCGTATACAATACAGTGACATATTACTATTTTACACATGCTTTCATTAGTAGCATTTGTAAAATAGTAATGTATAACATAGAATAGTTAAATAATAGGTAAGTATAGAAGTTAGTTAAAAATGAAAAATTGTAAAAACCAACGTCTTCTTTTAAAGAAAACTATTAAATTTAAACAGGCGTTGGCTCCAGTCGAGTTATTTTTACCAGTTTATAGGCTATCGCGTTTCTTAATTTATCATCAATGTTGCAGACTGAACGACAGAAAAATGTTAAAAGTAAATATTGGATTCACAAATAGCCAGAAGAGTGATATATTATCAAGTGTTCAAGCAACTAAAATATAAAACTAGGTATCCGCTGTCTAAACCAGAGAAATTTGTAGGTTAAGATAAACCGTAGCACCCTTCTCATTGTGAAGACAAACTAAAAAACACTGAATTCGATAAGTACTTATGTATTCTTAATTCAACTTTAACTTCAGTTCTCAATTTTGCTGAATTTGTTTCTTATATACTGGTTCTCTTTGTTTGTAATGTGATTTTTTTAATCTAAAGGGTGTCAGATATTAATTAATTTATTTTTATTATTTTTTTATACAACTTAGAATGGCAAACAAGCTGACGGCTCACTTGATGGAAAGTGGTAACTGTTGCCTATAGACATGAGCAGTACCATGGACATAACAAAGTATACTGTTACGCCCATGATACCCCCCATGCGTTGCCATTCCTGAGGACTCAGATGTCATTCCTCTGTACCCTGTACCGAACACAACTGCTTCACGGTAGAAACACGAATGGGACAGAGGTACCCAAGCAATCGACTTTTACAAAGTCTCCCTCTGGTAATTCTGTATTAATTAAAGTATATGTAGAAAGAATGTTAAATTATTATTTATTACCATAATACTTAAAATGTATAAAACAGGAACAATCTTACCTAACAAAAACAAACTATTCACAAGCTGTCCTTGAACTTGTTTGTGGCACTAATAAGCTAAAAATGGGACGAAAAATTTCTACAAACAGATCTCTGTTACCTACGACTCTCCGACTACGAATGAACCATACTTTCTACAGCGGAATATACCAGAATTTTATTTAGTTTGAACTATTTTCAGCGCCAAGATTAAAAGTTGTTAAATAAATTATAAGAATGTTTTCCCCGTTACACTTTTACTTTCAATTGGTCAGTACGAGTTTGTTGAACTCTGTTTCCCATTTGTCATTGTCAAATGTGTTTATTGAGTATTATCGTATTTGTCAATATATGTATATCATCACATGTGATTTAAATTTATTTATTTTATTTATTTATTTATTTAAGGCTAGAACAGTTAGAACAATACATAATTATACACTTAAATAGTAATTTGACAGCCACTAAACTTTGCACAAATATAATATAAGTGAAGGAAACACAAAATTAAATAATACTAAATTAAACATAATTCTTATCTAATCTATCTAAATATTGATATAAATACGAGTATTATATAAGTACATATGGTTATGTAAAATATCATATACATACTTATATATATATAAACAAAAATATATTGTAAACTAGAAGTATCACTACAGAAAACTAGCAGCAGTCCAGCAGTACAGTTTCATCTGTGGGACAGGTATAAAATTAACTTTTTATCATCATTCTATGCAGAAATGGGTGGAGGAGTTATACGTAACTACATTATCTATAAAAATTATTCTAAAGATGACTCAACACAATTTTTTTAAGGTGTATTCTGTTTAGAAATTATATTAACCCCATTTGATATTTTTAATTAAATCTCTAAACTTACATATTCCTTATCTTAGAGATCTGAGATTCGATTTTATATTAACATGTCTAATAATGTTAAGTATTCTCATATATTTTATCCAAGTAACAAATACTAAAAATATTTGTTAAATTACAAATAGTAAGTTGAAATAAGTATCGTTAATATTAAATTCTAATTACATAAATTTTCGCCATACCTTATCTAGATGTTGTTAATGAAATAATAGCTTTAATGTTTCATCAAATAACTGTTGATATACCAACTAAAAATTAATTTAGAGCGACGGATAGTTAAATTGCGTTTAATTTAATAAAATTATTTAAATAAATATGTACGTATGCGTTTAAAGACAAATTAGTTTTGATTTATTTGCTGTTTTTTAGATATTGCTAAATATAAAACGACGACACGAATTGCATTTTACACTAGATATTTTAACAGTAAAAAACCTTTACAAAATAAAGAAGAAAATGTAGAAGTAATTTAATAAATTACTTGATAAATGCAACACAACTTGTTTTTCTTTATAATTAGTTCTTTTTTTATCGACAGACTTTAAAAAGATGGAGGTTCTCAATTCGATTGTATTTTTTTTTATCTTTGTTATTTCATAACTCCGTCAATACTAAACCGATTTGGGAAATTATTTTTTTATCTGCAAGAAAATATTTACAGCTTCGTCCCACAGAAAATTTATTAAAATCGGTAGGTAGGTAGTTTATCTTTTTTATGAAACTGGTTTGCCACAATGGAAAGCGTTATTTTTTTTTTACATAATTTATATTCTTTCTAAGTTGAATAATAAATGAAATAATTACTTAATCTGTTTTTTTAAGAGAATGAACAAATTAAGCTCAAAGCTGCGTGAAGTTCTATCATAATATTATACAAATGTTTCGTCCAGACATTCACAACATATGAGATTCTCCCATCCTTAATAATGACTCTGTTATTAGTGTTCGAAGATATATCCTAATTAATCAATATAGGAATTTAATCTTTTGTGCCACATAATTCTAGGTAGATACGAATATATGACAGGAAATATTGGGTACTTACTATCAGAAAATGCGAACAGTTTTTTTTTTTTAAATATAGATACCTCCAATTAACAAGTTAAATTAGGTAATTATTAATGTCTTTCAAAAAGTATCATTTTAATAGAACTTTACGTAGAGATAAGTTCATTTAACCATCATATAGATATGTTGGTGAAATCAGTGACACGCACATAGTGACAGGTGCATCGTTCTATTTTGATTTACTATGAGTAATAGATGAACACGCATGATACTATCCGAATCTGTTTCAAGGATAATTGCATAGGTATGTGAAATGTTCATTGCATTTTAAAGCACTGCAGCTGGCTAAAAATTTGCGAACAATAATAACAATAATAAGTTCTTGTATTTCTTTTTTAAAATCGTCACTTCCTGAAACGAGAGTGATAATTTTACAATATTTATAAAACAGTAGGTTCTTAAATTGAAATTACAGTACTTTGAAATTTTGGCAATTGATTGTTTTTTTTTTCGTGTTATAATTTTTTTTAAAGAAATAAAATTGAGGTATTTATTATTATATATCTAAGATTATTATATATAGTTTACCTGCCCACTAATTTTGTCGTGCAAAAAGATAAAATCTCTACATTTATTTGTTTGTGTTGAAGTAGGCACCTACTGAAATTTGTGTTCCGTGCCAAGAGGTTAACGTATCCATGTTGGATTTGGCAAGATGTCGTCCAATGTTTGCTAGTTGTTTTTTAATATGAAATCTTAAAGACTATAAATACAAATATTACTACCAAAATACATACAAAACTACAAGAAACGATTTTCTCGCTTCAGTTGTTATTTCTAAAAGATAATTGTTAATGAATCCTGACATTTAACATCAACCACCAGCCTTTGTGCAATGGTTTATGTTTGGGTACATGTTTCCGGAATTTCCTGATTGTTCAAAAATGAACAAAAGTGTAATTATATTCGGTGCGTATTTTTTTTAATATAATTACGTATGTTTATTTTAGGATTATTTGCATAATTATTTTAATTGAAACAGTTTACTTTCCGAATAGTTACAACACAAGTTTTAGACAAGCATTTTTTATGTATTACACAGGTCTCCATAAATTCTTTATCATCACATAAGCCAGCTAACGGCTTATGTGATGATGATGAATTGAACTTCCACTGCTGAACATAGGCCTTCATCTCTGGGAAGTGTTGCCACGCTTGATAGACGGGTTGGCAACCGCACTTAGGCTTTGGTGATGTTTTAAGAGGGACACTGTTGCCCATCCCTTGACCATTAAGTTCTCGTATTCGCCCTTTACGACATCTACGGGAAAGGAAATACTGGCCTATTCTATGCTTGTACTACACGTACTCCATAAATTAATTATCTTTAATATCTATTTTTAATTTTGGAATAACTAAATACGTATAACAACCAATACGTATAATAAAAACTCTGCGTAGTTTAATTTAAATTTTAAATACATTATAATTTCATTTAAAGAGGAGAAATATATTTAATGAGAACTTTAGCTGTGAATTTATGCATTCTACATCTCGCATATTACTTTAAAACAATAGAAAGATGAAACTGCGAGTTCACTTCAAAATTCCCGACGGAATGAAGAGTCCGAATGTGATTATACCTACCCATTTCTCTGCTCTATTGTTTCAATTAAAGTTACTGTCAAAATAAACACACATACCTACCTGTTATAATTATTATATAGGTACCTGTATACCAACCTTTTATTCATGAGATTATTATCCTTATATATTTAAATATACTTCAAATATATATATATATATATATATATATATATATATATATACATATATATATATATATATATATGTATTAATAATTTAATAAGTTAATAATAAATTAAAATAAATACTATCATGAAAACCAAGACTTACGGTCCGCCTGACAGAAAGAGGCCATTGCAGCTAAAATCGTTCACACGTTTCATTGTCGCCCTTTAACATGAAATTCTCAAGTCATACTAGCTTTTGCCCGCAAATTCGTATGCGTAGATATTGAGAGTAAGTAAACATTTCAAATACACTCATTCATTTTTTTTTAATGGCTTATCGACATATATCTTCTTCCAGATTTTTTTACTTTCAAGAGTTCAACTGTGAAAACTGCATCCATTATGATTCAGTAGTATATGCGTGGTGCTGGAAGAAATATACATACAAACATTAAGAATTTATTGCTTTGGCTTTCATTACTCTTAAACAATATTTCTAATTATTTATTATGTACCGATACCGTTTAATTACAATTTTATTATAATAACAGGATTTTAGACGACAAAGAAGTGCTTATGCATTAAAACACATTTTACTAAAATAGGTAAGTGTGGAAATCCATATCAATGGTTATTTAATGAAAACTATTTGCTATTCGAAACTAAATGTTAACCGTTCGATTTTCGCAATTTGGGTGCAGAATAAAATATTTAATTAATTAATGTAGGCAAAATAATTCTAGTTAAATAACCACATTGGTAAAGTTTCCTAATGTCAAATATGCAGCATTTCTTAAATCTTATTTCAAACAGATATCCGTTTATTCTTTCTACTGAACATTATTATAAATGTCTTTGTTTATGCAACTCAGAATGGAAAACAAGCTGACGACCCACTTAATGGAAAGTGGTAACCGTCGCCTATAGACATGAGCAGTACCATGGACATAACAGAGTATACTATTTCACCCATGATACCCTCCATGCATAGCTATTCCTGAAGATTTAGGAGTTATTCTTCTGTGCCTTGTTAATTCAAAATAGTAAATTCACTCCGAAAGTTTGAAAATATGTCTGGACGTCTGTTACTCAATCACACTTAAATGGCTGAACGAATTTGAATAAAATTTCGTATTCATATATATAGTTCATATTTAGCCTGGGTTGATATAGTATTCTAATATATTTTTCCTAATTCAGGCAAGATAAGCGGTGGGTTACGACTAGTTAAAAATAAATCCTCAAAAATATAGACCGTAAATAATAAGTAGTCATTAGGTATAAAGTATTCTGTTACGTAGGTGGAAATAATGAAGGGATTTCAAGTCTATTCGAATAAGGATTATTTCCATTCTATTCTAATTCCTGAAATTGCCGAAATGTGAAAAAGAGATTTAGTGTTCATGCACGCTAAGTTCTACGTATATGATGTAAGCCAATCATGTATTTACCTATATCATTATCACATAAATATATCATCTAGAAAGAAAGA